GTGCATTAAAACTTTCCAGTTGTTAAGAACTGGCTATATCTGTACAAAAGCTGTCTGCTAATACATAGAAGCACCCAGACAATAGTAAAAATGGTGAGTTTCTGCAAAGTCCCTGTGTGCAGGCCAGGCAGAGCACATCTATATGCAACACCAAGGCAAGATGTTGCTTTTATTATAAAACTAGTAAAAATTTGTCACAATCTATGCCAAAATGGAAGCGAAGATTTTCAAAAATCTTTGTTAAGGGTATCTTAACTGAAAATCAAACCCATGGCTGTATACCAGCACTGCCCACTGACTTCCGTCCCAGCCATGCCAAGAAGAGATGGGATGGATTATTCGTACATGTGGGAAGAGTTAAATTGCTCAGTGCAGTGGTGGCTGAGGGCTGGTGGTGTCCCTCCTCCAAGGCCTTTGCACTTGGAAGAGATCTGGAGACCGAGAACAGTACAGGTAAACTGGGATCCAGGTCCTCAAGTCTGAGGGATGGGGCTTAGCTGGAAACATCTCCCCCAGCTAGCAGAACAGCTGGCTTGCATCTGCTTTTTCCTTCATCTAACTCCCTTCTGTCTCAGGATAGTGGTAACAGGGTGGTCATCCCCCACAGCTTGTGTGGACACCAAGGTGATCTGCCTGCATCGTGCCACATTGCGCTTGTCTGGTACAAGGCCCTACATGCTGAAGCAATGATGTTTAAGAAGGAGCTAACTACAGCAGTGCTCGGGCTGCTGGTCAATTTACTCGTCTGTGATTTCAGTGTGAAATTGGGAAGTACTCAATTTCCTTACCCGTTTTTGTACAAGCTTGAAAGAAAGTGATGCAAGTGTGAGCAATGAAAGGCTGGAAGGGATCTCTCCCAGATTCTGCTCCAGGCAAACAGACCTGAGTTCTGTTTCCACCAGCTAAGGGACAGAGCAGCACCTGATTCTGGCGTCTCATTCACCAGGTGCCGTTGGGCAGGACCCCAGCGGAGACTTTGGGATTTCAGCTCCAAAGCATCTGGCTCCCTCTTGTGCTTCCCGTGTTTATGGCAAGAGAGGTTGCACGGGATGAAGTCCACGCCGTGGAACGCACTGGCGGAGATGGCCCTTGCTCATCTCTTTGTGTCCAGTTGGAGAAGCGGATCACATCAGTAGCTGTTACTTAAGACCTGACCCGATATGGACCCTCTCTGTATTCTGGTACCCTTGAGTGTGCAGGAAATACGAAGCTATTCCAGGATCAAGCTAGGGACTAGGGTATGAAGAACCATAGGCATTACACACAGCCAGCTGCTTACATCTTGATCATGGATGAGTTGTGACTGTCAACCATAGCTTCTGCCTTGGAGAAAATCCACCCTTCCTCTGCATGATTCAGTCCAAGTGACAGCACTGCCATCTGTACGTGCAACGCTCAGCATGCAATGTGCTTCCTCCTTCACAGTGTTAGGAATTTACAGAGTATGAAGTTATTTCATCTGTTTTTTCCAGTATTTTATACAGCTTTTTTTTGGTAAAGTACTCTGTGTAGCAGGTCCTGATCTATACTATTCCTTTTACAAAGGTGGTAGTAGTAACAAGAGGTGAAATCCACCTGAGAAATGGCTTTAATGCAGTGCTCCAGCAGCAGTGGCTGCCTGCATTAGAAGTAGTGCTTCTTCTTAACTGAGTTACTTTTACAAGGTTTCTTTAAAGGTCATTAATGGGTGTCAGGAGACAAAGCAAAGCTGTGTTAGCTGAAGCAGAAAAAGGACTTGCTTTCCAGCAGATGTTCTGCAATCCTCTGTAGCTAAGGAAAAAGTAACTACAACCAGATTAGGTGCTGTTGATTCTGAATGTCTGTGCAGTTTTGACTTATTTTTCCTTGTGTGTTTTTTGTTATTTTTTGTTGAGTTTATTTGTTTAAATCATAATTAAAATGAATATTTTTGTTATTCTCTTAGATAAGTTGTATGGGCAGCCTGCTGCAGAAATCAGGGAAGACTCCCATCCTCTAATGGTAGGTGACAAAGGTAATGTATCTACATGTGATATTACTATGCTCTTAGTTTAAAAGAGAAGGATGGAAAAGGTCTTTTCATTAGGAACTGTAGCTGATTAAGGGGTAGAAGCCCAGAAGACAAAAACCGAGTTATTTTTAATTAAATTGGATAGAAGCCACATATTCCATAAACAGCCACCAGCTGTTTAAATGCAAGCTAAATGCAAGGGAAGAAGTCACCACAGAAATGTTGTGCAACGGAGAAGGAATTTCCCCAGTGCTCACTTGGCTCTGATCTACAGCTGCTCTTCTCTTGCACAAGATGTGCAACACAAGACGACTGTGTGTATTTGTTTATGGGAGGCCCCTGAGAGCCAAACCGGAGCTAAGTGAGCACCTCTGCTCCTCCGGATACACAGCCTGCTAAATTCATCTCCTCTCTCCTGGTGGGAGCACGTCCCCATTCGACCCCAGCTGGCTGCAGGTACTCTCACCCTCTGGTTGATGACCTCATCACCCTGATGGCTGATGACTATTGTCTGTTTTCATCTGAAGTTTATGCGTTTGAATCTCCAGTGTGTCCAGATGAAGATTTAAGCCTAAAAGTTGTCTTAAAGAATGAGTTATTTGCTAGTAATGCTGTTTGGTTTTGTGTTTTTCTTTGTAAAATAAGACACATGGCTTCCAAAAGCAGCAAGTGCTTCTTCCTTAAGAAAATGTCATGAGGGCATTGCAGTCTTTCAGATGTGACAGGTCTTTTGTAGTCTGCTTTTTTAACAGATGCACAGAGAAAGTTTCAATGCAACCCAAAGGTGGCAGAGGCAGTTCTGATGACAACAATTAAACCTGCAGGAAGGGATTTTTTTTCCTGATGGAACAACCTCCTTCCTGCAGGAATTGAATAATTTTTTACATTGCATAATTAGATGCACAGGTACAATGGAGAGTAAAGGTGGCTTTGTCCTCCCTGTGCTTTCTGTCGGTGATGGTGAAAGGACTCCAGTCAATCATTCCCCCTCCATCCACCTCCCCCATCCCCTCCGGTCAATCTCGGAGATTGCTTTTGCCTCCAAATTGTGTATTTCGCTGCTAAGGGATGTCAAATTTTCCCTCAAAGCCTCAGCTTTTCAGGTGACAGAAAATGGTGTTTACCCCACTAACCATAGCAGGGTGCTGCCAGGAAGTGGGCTCAGGTTCTGCTGCTATTTGTGACCTTTTCAAATTATTCTTTATTTTTTACGCTGTGTCAGTAGGACTTGTATCTTAAGTCAAAATTAGGCTTTGTATTTTTACAACATGAACTGTTATGTAACCTCCTCCGGCGAAGGGCAGCGAGCATTGGAGCAGCAATAAGGACAAATACCTTGTTGAGGTCCCACGAGCAAATTCTCTCTTCAAATTAAAAGGCAAACTTGATGCTGAGAATACAATAGCTTAGATCTAAGAATAACATCTGATATGGTTTCCCGGGTATTTTCCAATATACACAAATACAAAATGCCTTTCCCAAGTGGAGTTTAATAGATACAGCAATGCTTTGTTTGCCATAAAAATTACCAGGACAATGAGAGCTGGCCATGTCTCTTACCAGACCTACTACTGATTTGTTTTGTTGTATTTGGTTAATATTCATGGTAATGACAAAATCGGACTTTCATTTTTTTTTTTCTAAACATTTATTGTTTTCCATGGTATCTACATTGTGAAGGAAGGAACGAATACATGTTTTATTTATGATGTTATTCTGCTAAAATGCTGTTTATATTTTTACTGCAAATATTTGTTTATCCTGGTAGATCACAGCTTTTTTTTCTGTTACAGAAAGCAGGTTCCTCTGTGGGCTTAAATCTTAGAGTAACTCAGTCACTGGCCATACATGCCACAGACTTTCTACCACCACTAGTGTAAAGACCCTGTCCTGCCTTGTCCTTGCATAGCTACAAGGAACCATCAAAGGTGACAAAGTTGAGGTGTTTGTGGCCGATATCATTGCAAATATGACATGGAAAAGTAGCCCCAGAAAGCCTGGAGCATGACAATAGCTACTACTTGCTAATTCACCCTGGATCCAGTCCCTATTTACTAGGCACTCCATAGAAATCAAAAACAAAAAAAAACACAACAAAAAACCCCAAACCACCAATGCAAAGCTCTTTTTGTCTAAAGAAATTACATCCTCGGTATGAGACCAGAGACACCGGATAGGAGAGCACTTGGAAACAATGAGTCAATGCTGGCTGGTGGGTGCAAGGGAAAGACCCCAGCACTCAGCAGCTGGGCACTGCCAAGGACGCAGTGGCAAAGGGGTACTTGACAAATGGATCTGAAGAGGAGCTGTTGCAGCTAAACCAGGATTCAGCAACAAAATTGTATTCATCTGTGATGTTTTCATGATTTTAAGACACTAAGATTCTGACTGAAAATCGCTCAGGAAAAATGAGTTGCTTGCTAGGCAGTAAGATCTGAATGACACCTGTGCCCATGCTGCAAACTGTTATGTTGTCAAACTTGACTCAAAAAGTGATGCTCAGCCAGTAGTTATCAGTCAGGATTCAAACTAACACCAATGCCACTGTTTTACCAGTCCAGCTCTAAACATTTATAGTAGTGAATAGGAAGTACTAATGCTGTGAATCAGAAAAAGAGAACAGAAGCCTCAAGGGACACCTTATCACCGTGTTCCAGTAAAGAGTGGCTACAAAGAAGATGGAGATTCCCTTTCAACAAGGAGCCACATAGAAAAGATGAGGGGCAATAAGTACACAGTACTTCTGGGGGAGATTCTGGAAAAAAAAAAACATGCTATTGCTTTTATGAAAATAAACATACTTATTTTTTACTGTCAAGAACTTCCACTACCATCTTCTAAGGTCTTTTTCAAGACATGACAAGCCTGTATATTTAATAAGCATTTCATCCCCTCAAGCATCAAAGCTGTATCTTCTTCTTGCATCCCAATGACAAGAACTTGCTTTTGCAGATAAAGCCAACAGAAACAGGCCACTACTCCTGTTTTCAGTGGTCATCTCCCTATGCACAGAAACATGACTTCAGTGCAGTATTTTGTACCAGGTTGGCTTACCCAGCTTTGTCAGTCAGACTTCTTATGATAATGAGAACTCTTAAAAAAAATTGCCTTTTCTCATCCTGTGCTCTCTGATGACAAGAGAATGAAAGTGCATACGCCCAGAACACATCTAACAAAGGAAAAAGGAGCTGTATCTGGACAGAAGAGGCCTAACTTCTTCAGTCTCTTAAGCTCAGAAGAGATACAGAGATAATTTACTTCCTGTTCCAAACTTCATCAGGAGGAACAGGCTTGTTCACCCTCAGATGCAGACTGTCCAACCTGTGAGTGGGAGCAATGTGACAGATCTTTAGTGACACAGATGTGCACAGGTATAGTCTGTACAAGTACAGCATGTAAGCAACATAAACACTAGCTTTCTACCTGCTGCGAAACAGGCTCTGAATCTCATTCCTCGCTTTCTTTATAAACTCAAATACCTCAGAAGGATTTCCTATAACATCAATGTGAGTATCATAAAAGATGATCAAAACATGAGGGTAATGGGGTTTCACACTTTCACACGCCCTCCTATATCTCTGCTTTTCATCTCTGGTGTGTTCCTTGAAGTCAATCCTCTCCTTACGCAGAGTTTTATGGAGTTTTATAGACCAATTTTCAATTTTCTCTTTGACTTGTAATGCCTGTCCAGCATCAGACCTACTTCCAGCATTCTCAATATATAGTGTAGTTACATCACCATCAGTGATGTCAAAAATCACAGTGTCATCACTTACTATGAATGTCCTGGGAAAAAAGGACTTCATGTAGCGATATATATCTGTGTCAAGAACAACCACCTGTTTTTCCACACCATGAACAAAATTACTCATCTCCGTGGTAAGTCCATGCTGCTGTTGCCTCCTTCTTGGTCTCTGGTGGGATGTACCTTTTTCTCTTTTGTCCTTCTCTGAAATGGATTTTGCTTTTAATAAGAGAAAGTCTCTTAGCAATTTGATATCTGGAAATGACCCTTGAACAGAAATATGCCCACTGGATTGCAAAGGACCAAAGCTCAAATCTGTACTCTTTTTCATTTCTTGTATCAGATCTTCTAAAATGAATTGTTCTTTGAAAATAGACATATCGAGGACACATGTGACAGAGCTGAAGACCTAGAATTTTGAATTGGATAAGTTAAGTAACGGTTAAGATAGCAATGGAAGTACAACTAGATAAATTATGAAAGAGCTTACATTTTCAGAGAAGCGGGTTACTTCCAGCGGGTAGTATCTGGAGAACCTCTTGTCCTCTAGTCGATGTTCATCCTTTTTTAGAACACTCTCTACAACTGAAGAGAAAGCCAGATTCATGCAGTAGGATAATGCATTAATGCAGGTCTGATGGCAGAACATTTCATGGGTATTTTTCTCTTGATGCTTTCCCTCACAATGTTGCAAACGTACACATAGGTAATTCACTATTTTTGCCTAATACTTTATGATTAGCCAGTACTGTTCAGAGAGAGAGGCAGAAGCCTGTCTTCTTAGAACATTAATTAGCAGAGATTTATTCTCAAATGCCTGATGACAAAAATTCTATCTGTTATGCATGGTATAAATTTATTCCTAAAAGCAAACATAACAAACACTTTGCAAGAAGCCTGTTTAGAGGAAAAAAAAAAAAAAGAAGAAAAAGGAGAGAAAGAATTAATTCTATCCCAGTCAAAACTAGGAGAGCCATGACTCCAAAGAAGAGAAATACAATCCTAAAACTTTGGCTGACTAAAAGAGAGGTGTTAGTCTCTCAGTTCTATAAAATCCTAGTACCAGCAAACAATTTAAAACAATTTCTTTTAGGATTAACATTCTAGGGCTAATTCTTTAGGGGGCATCTGTATTTTCTATAGTACATTCATCTAACTACCTTTTTGGTCTTCAAAAGTTACATATGCAACTCCTTTTTTGTCTGTGGGATACATTACGTCCTCCACATCTCCACCGTTGTTCTTTGACATTTGGAAATGAATTGTCAGTATGTCGGTCATGACATCATTGTGCAGAAGGCCATCTGGAACACCAGCGATGACAACTGTCCTTGCTGATTTAGCAGCTTGTCCTGTCGCCTGCACACAAGAGACACGGCACACCATAAATGCACGGAGTCCCGGTGACCTCCCACAGAGGTTACCCAGATTCACACCCATTGCTGAAGGGACTCCCCTTCCCTTTGCATAAGCAACCTGTTCATTTACTGAGCAGTTTAGAAGACTGATGAATCAGATTTCAGTGGATACCAGCCTCCCTTAGGCACCTTTACAGTACAGCGCAGTACGAAGTAGCCTGACTCTTAATTGTAATTTACGCCTTCTCAGTATCTTCTTAAAGCAGTAAAAATTAGAACTAAATGTACCAGTTTTTCAAATGAAAGGTCCAGTGTCACACTGACGACGTAGTTTCTTCTTGATTCTTCTACTATTCAAAATCTGAAGAGAATGAAAAATTTTAACTGCACTTACTGTTCAGTAAAGATTGTCTTTTCAGAGGGGAAGGGTCAGATTCAGACTGTACTTGTTAAATTCATGAGAGCTGGGATCTAGGGTTGTGTTCTGACTCCTCTCTCTCCACTTATTAAATGGATAATTGTTAAATTGGAAGAACATAATCCCAGTCATCTGAGACTTGCAGTGCATAAAACAACTAGCACCACACATGATTTTCATCAGAGCCAAACCTCCTAATGCTGCAAACATGAAACCCATCCTAAATAGGATTTGCATTCATGTCTTGTTAAGAAAAGCATATTTTCTTTCCATTCTCATTACGCAGACATAAACAGTAATACTTCACTGGGAATATCATGGCACAATTACTGTAAATAGTGGAACACTGAGTAAATTTTGTAACAGTTCATTGACTTTTTGGAAGAAAGAAAATAATTTAGTATATCTGCATGGCAGCATTCACAGGAATGAACTGTCAATAACTTCAAAGTGACTGCACTCATGGTCAGCCACTCCCGCTAAATTCTTTGGACTTCTCTTACAAAGCTTCTTCTAGACTCTGGGCTGCATAAAATATTAGAGCCAGCACAGCAATTACAAAGCCTGCAGAATGCGCTGCCAGGGGCGAATGCTCTATTGACATGCGTCAAAAGCCTTGTGGACCACCACCACAGTGTTTCTGAAGAGACAGACTCAATGAGACTGCGCAACCAGGGGAGCTTTTAATTCATAAAGACATGGGGCCTTTTTTTGTCACCATCAAACTTAAAGAGCCAGAAGCTTTAATTATATTAGGCAATTATTTTGGTGGTAATGTTCGTGTGAAAGCAAGTTTCTGCACTAACGAGACAACATGAAGAGAATATAAACAGGGTGCTCCCAAGATTGATGGAGCTATAGGCAGGATTTTCTCACGCTTCACACAGCCGATGCAGCCTAAGCATGAGAGGGAGCACTCAGCTGCCAGACAGCATCTTGCACCTTGCCAGCTGGTATTTTGGAGCAGCACTCATGCCTACTATTGGGGTTAGAAAAAAATCCACATGAACACACAGTTTGTTTGTGTTGAATCACTTCCAAGACAAGTCTGTACGCAGTGGCTGTTGCTAGATAGAGCTGCACAGCTGCGGGGGGTGCCTCAGGGACACAGGCAGGCGGGTAAGGGAGAAGAGCCCTGCAATGCTGGTCACTGGTGACCACAGTGCCTTGTGCATGGCCAGTTCTTCCCTGTGAGGGTAGTGAGATGCTGGCAGAGGCTGCCCAGAGAAGCTGTGGCTGCCACATCCCTGGCAGTGTTCAAGGCCAGGTTGGACGGGGTTTTGAGAAACCTGGTCTAGTGGAAGATGTGCCGGCTCAGGGCACACGGTTTGGAACTGGATGAGCTTTAAGATCCTTTCCAATTCAAACCATTCCGTGATTCTATGACTTGCCATTTCTTGGCATATCTGCTACACGTATCAACACTGACAAGAGATAACATGAAGACTTACCTATAGACCTCATAGGTTCTCACTGTTATTAAAAAACATAAATAGTAATACTAATGACAGGGAAATCGGACCTGATGCTACCATTAAATAACTTGAGGGTCAGGGCACCAGGCCATGGCAGACAAGACATTTCTTCCTGTGCGGGAACTGAGCGAGGGACAGACAGGGTTCACTCGCCTCCCCAGCGCTGCCATTACTTTTAACCCTCTGAGGCTTTTAACAAGCGAAGCAGAAGGCTGCTCTCTGCGCCCTGGCTGGCGGGTCCAAGCCGTGCGGGGGTGGCGGGGACTGGAGAGGACAGCGGGAAGGCCAGCGCCCTCCTCATAGCCCTTCTCCGAAGCCTCCCGGAGCGCGCCGGCCCTTCCTCCCGGAGGGCCCGGGCCCGGCCCCGGCCAGGACGATGACGTTCCTCTGGAGGCCTGCCCGCGCCCTCTCCCGCCGCCAATCCCAGCACTTGCCATGGCTGTCCCTCCGCCGAGCTGAGGCTTCCGCTGATGTCCGGGGCGGCGGAGAGCGGCTGCCTCTGAGCACCGCCCGTCCCGGCGCCTCCCGGGCATCGGGCTCTCGACCTGCCCCGGCCGAGCCGAGAAATCGAAACTACGGGCCCCGAGTCCCGGAGCCCCGCTGCGGGAAGGCCTCCCCCGCGCCGCCTCGCGGCCGCCGCTGGAAAGCCCGTGCAGGAGCGGTGTCCTGATTCTCACCATTGGCGGCTGGAAGCCCCGGTATCCAGCGACGCTTCCTCGCAAGGCAGCGCACCCTGACCGGCCTGCGTTATCTGCTCCTGCTGGTCCTTATCCCACTGCCTCCATGCTCCCTGCTGCGCTCCCACACAGAAGGCTCATACGCCAGGTGCCCCCTCACGGCGAGGCACGGGTAGGCACAGGTAGGCACACAGGCACGGCGACACAAAGCCCTTGTACACCTGGACCGGTATACCCACGGCGGCATCCGAACAGTCCCACACCAGGGCTGACCGGCTGACGCCAGCGACACGTAGGTCTGGCTCATGGTGGAAGCTGCAGCTATGAAAATATCAAGGGTTTGTATGTAATACGGGTATAAAAAAGTCACAGTTCTTCAAACTTCCAGTCAAAGGTTAATTCACTCCAAGTAGGTAGAAGAAAGGATATCACCATTTCTAGAAAATCACCTAAACTCTGTACTCTCGTTTCTCATAATTAAAACTAGCCTTTTTGTGGCACCACCGCTGCTTTGAAATTTAAACAGTATAACCAATTCATCAGAGAGAAAAACAACACGTTTACAAAGCCTGATTGTCTTAAAATGTTACTTGATTTTATGTACTTAAAACGTGTAGCTTCTCACTACTCCCCCATAATGTGATACCTTATAAGAATTTTAAACTTCTTCCCTTTTTAAGGATTTATTACTCAACATTTTTCAGTGAGGTACAGTTAAAATGCATGACATTTTTTACTTTCATCAGTTTCCTCTCCTCTCTTTTTAAGTCATCTGAACTTACCAACATTTTTAAGGCTGTGTCATGCAAAAGTATGCAATCTCCGCAAATACTTCAGTACTACTACCATTTTTATTGTTATTTCATAAATGTCAGATATCAATCCCTGATTTTGCATGCACTAAACAGTAAGAGGTGCTACAGCCACATGTATCTCACCCAACACTAAACTCAGAATCGGCTGTGGTACTAGCAGCCTTGGATTTTCCCATACGCAACGTATTTATTGCCTACTAATAATTTCTCTAGAATAATGATACCTAAGGTGTGTTTGTAGTGCTCTTTCTGCACTACTTCGGCATTGTGCTTTTCCTGCACACTAAAATGTCAAATACTTTGAAAATAAGATATTTTCAATGTTAGACCCAGGCTACTTTGAAGTTAACATTATTGTTGCCAAACCGTTTCAGCTGCCAAGGGTAGCAAATAAAAACGGCAACAGCATTAAAAGAAAAACATTCCTCTTTGGAAAAGAAATCTTCCTCTGACTTTGCACTTTCATTTTATTTCAAAGATCTTTCAGAATGATAACTGAAAGGAAGAACTGGAAACGAAAGGAGGGGCTTTATACACTCAAAAATTAATTTGTCCTAAACTCTGTGTGCTTTTTTCCATCTGATCTCCCTCGACACCCGCCCGCGCCAGTGGCCTGGCCAGCTGCCCACACCAAAACACATACCGCAGACGGAGTGTTCACTGCTTCCACATCATTTTTTGCAAAGCAATCTGGTTTTGATAAAGAATCATCTCAATTTTTAACTCTAAAGTAAGCAAAGCCATGAATAAAAGTAAGGAAAGATTTAATTGCAGAAACAAATGTTAAAAACAAACAATAAACCAGGCTATTAACATACGGAAGCTCAGCACAATTTGCATCAGATGCTAGGAGAAGTAACAGTGTTTCAGCAGCTAAAAGCAATTACTGCTACAGCATTTCTTATAAGGTGCAATTTCTTGAGTGAATCTGTGGTTATTTTACACTCTACATTTCCCTTTTTCTAGTTTAATTCTATCACTCATTTGGCAATGGAGATTTTATGTAATTACAAGGTAACTGTTTTCAGGTATTTCAGTTATGGTGGCACACAGCAATCTAAGCAGGACTGGAGTCCTGTTAGAGCTACTATCTGAAGCTATGGCACTTCAGAAAAGCAGTTCTGTGAACAAGCATTTGATTGGGATTGCATATGGCTTTTATAACAAAAATGTAAGATTAAATAGATTTATCCCACTTTGGAGTATGGGAACTATCTAAAATTTGCAAGATGCAAAACCTGCAAATTTACAGCACAAGTTTCAAGTGCTGTAAAGGCTTTTTCTGTGACTTTGATAAGGAAACTCTAGAACACAAAGCAGTGAGTTTTACTGAATTTCTATGCTGAGTCTGTGCTGTTACACAAATCAGGTAGTTCCTTTTTTTTCAAGTATACATATCAGAACTTTAAAGCACAATGTCTGCATAACTTCCTATGCCTCTGATGAAACAAAACAACAGAACTTTCTGAGATCAATTACATCTTCCTATATGGCATTCTAAGTGTCCTCCTCAAAACAAACCCATGTTGCTCCTTTTGATGCATATTTGATTTTCTCTATTTCCCCACCATTATTACTAGGCTTTTGAAAATGGATTTTAATCATGTCCTGCACACTTTCCTCATCATCTTCCATCTCTTTAATTCCTTCCAACAGAATGGTCTTCTTAGAAATCCCACAATAGAGCTATTGAGGAAAGAAAAACATGTATTACACATCAGCTGTTGCACATACATCGAAAGGAGCTGAGAGATACTGGAAATAAACATATCTGTGGTCAGGTATGGCTAGGATTATTTATTACATTTTAAGACTTTGAACAGCGGGTTATATTTCTGTCACTTAAAAGAGCAGGAGGACTCTTTGGTATGATGCTGAGTTCAACAGGCAATGCACCTGTCTCCTTAACTGGTGTGTCCTACACTCCTTAGTGCATGCACACATTGGATTTGAAGATCTCTAGATTTGAAGATTACTCTAGACAGCATTGCTCCATAAAAATCCATGCCAATACATGATACACACCTGCAAAGAATTCTGTTGCATCTCCTAAATGTGCACACCCTAGTCAATGCTTTAATTATAAAGGCCTGGTTACATACAAAATACTGACTTGATTACAATGAATGAATGAATGAATAAATGAAAGAAAAATGAATGAGCAAATGCTTTCTAGAATAACAAGGGTGTCTGCTGAGACTTTCATCAAGGCATTCTCACTAGGGATGAACATGACAGTGCTTTGTGACTGAAAAAACATTGTTGTGTCTACTATTAACCTACTTCACAAACAATTCAGTATCTGCCTCCTGTCTAGCACAGACATTATGGTAAGTAATACAATTTGATTGAGGAAAGACATGCACATCCTTTTAAAATTATAGCTTTCACACTGCAAAACATAAGATTATAACCAGAGCATCATATTGCAGACTCAGACTTGCTACTAAGTTTCACAAATTGCATGACACAAAAGCTTCTGCAGTCCTCAGAACTGAAAATTCTGCTTATATCTTGCATTTCCCATGCATCTGTTCTATTTAGGACTCAATTCTTTTACCTGAAAGTTCTCCAATTTTACATAGGTGTCTGGGGAAACAGGAAGCCTATATGACGTTCCATTTACAACAAAAGGATATTCAGTACATCTCACAAAGCTGTTAGCTGCTGTAATGAAGAATCAGAAAAAGAGAAACAAGAGTAATATAATTTAAAATGCATTTTATAAGAGTATCAACAGACTAATCCTTCTTATGTGGATTTAGAAACTAATATATCATAGCACACTTGCAGATTCTTCATATGCATTTTGCAGAAAGTTTACATGGCATTTCCAAAAAAGCAAAATCATTAAATACCCACAGAATCTAAAGCAGCTGTTCTAAATGGATGTGGCTCCACTAATCTTCAAAGAATTTAATACAGTTGGGCAATCTGAATGCCTGTGTAACTTCATTGTCATGAAACAAGCTAAAATCAAACACATTTTCATCGTTTTCTTTTTTGCAATGTGCTTAGCAATGCAAGGAAAAAAGAGGGGTTTGACAAAGTTAAGAAAGAAATAAAGCTCACAAACTATGTATCAGGTCATAAAATCTTGGAATCAACTAGGTTAGAAAAGACCTTTAAGATTACCAAGTGCAACCTTTACCCCAAGACTGCCAAGTCCACTACTTAACCACATCGCTAAGGGCCCCATCTATATGGGTTTCTGAACACTTCCAGGGAGGGTGACTGCACCACTTGCCTGGGAAGCCTTTCCGTGAATAGATTTTTCCTAATATCCAGCCTTCCCTTGCACAGCTTGAGGCCATTACCTCTTGCCCTATCACTCATTACTTAGGAGAAGAGATCAGCCACCTCCTCACACCGTCCTCCTTTCAGGTAGTTGTAAAGAGCAATAAAGTCCCCACCGAACCTTTTCTTCTCCAGACTAAACAACCCCAGTCCTCTCAGCCATTCCTCTTAAGACTTGTGCTGCAGACCCTTCACCAGCTTAGTCGTTCTTCTCTGGCCCTGCTCCAGCACCTCAATGTCATTCTTAAGTGATAAAACACTGCTTTTACAGATGTGTGAGTGAACCCACATGTTTTTCCTGATCTGCTTAACTCTCCATGGGAAGAATTTGCTACATTCAGTGGTTAAGTTAACACAGAATATAATACAGAATAGAATGCAATGCAGAATGGACAGTATGGCCTCTACATCTGGCCAACAACATATTACGTACTATACCTCCAGGTCTGAGGAACGTAATAACAGCTGTTCTAGACTGCTTGTCATAGTTCACGTTTTCAACTTTTCCTCCTCCCTGTTCAGATTTGTAGAAATTCAGTTCTAATTTGTCTCTCATCCAGTCTTCAGGAATGGATAGTTCAGGTACTTCTGAAACATTAAACTTCTTTCCAGAAATAGTGACATGGAGCTAAAAGAATATTTGTTTTTGTGCACTTTGTGACTGAAAACATCTGAACCCATAAACATAAAGCTTTTTAACTACTGCAAATTCCTATCTTTATAGTTTCATATTTCAGTCGATTACCTTAAATTTGATTCCCATTTCAAGTGTAAAAGGCATCACTCTCATATCTGCTGTTTTATTGTCCAGGTTCACAGTATGTTTACCGATTTCTATCAGTCTCTGGGCAACTAAAGAAAATCACAAGTTTTCAGATATTTAAAGCCTTGTTTAATCATGATAAACCCAAGAGTATTCCCCCATGTCTTAAGCAAAATCTCTTTTTGCATCAATAACAGAGGAATCCCAATATCCATGTATTCAGAATTATCTATTTCTGTTAAATCTCACTGGTTATAGGCACCAGGTAAAATATTATACTATCTTTAGAGTGGTATAGAACAGTAAAATCTTTATGCTGTCAAAAGATGCTCTCACTATAACAAATATTAATACTAGACTTCTTGTATTTCATTTAAAATATCCTTGAACAAAAACCACATTGCTACGAGGTACAGAGAATGCTGATTAGAAATGTTAGAGTTTAGTTGTAAGAAAAGAATTGGACCCTAGCTTTTGTATCCGGAATATATTTGCATGCATAACTGAATTACCCACCACTAAAACAGGCCCAGGCAGAGTGCCTGCAGGCTGCCCAAACAAGCACCTCAGCAGGAAGCAGGCAAGTTACAGACTGCACCATCCCTCTGATGTCTCAGATCTACCCATCATCTGCTGTGTTCACTTAAACAACGTAACTGCTGTCAGAATAAGGTACTGCCCAGAGTAAAGAAAAAAAGCAAATTCTGCTGTGAGAACATTCTGAATCATTCTTGACAATACTCTCTGAGGTAAAAACACATTCCCAATTTTAAACATGAAGTATTGTTTGTATTAGCTAAGAGCAGAAATCTGGTAACACAACAAAAACATGCAGAGTACTTGCAAGAATTTTTTTCTACTGATTGGTATCATAATAATGAATGGGTTTCTGTGTATTCTTTCTTTGCCTGTTGTTGATTTTATTTTTTTTTCCAAATGTTTATGTAAATATTTTCCCTTTAGCAACAAAATACATCAGAAACATTAATTTTATATTTAAATATGCATCACACCTTCTTTGTCTTCAAAAGTAAGCAGCACCTGGTTTCCATCCAGTCTGAATGGGATTTTTGTAGTTACACAAAAAACACAGTGAGTATTCATGTCTTGATAATTATCCTTCGTGTCTTCCATGTGAGCTTCATTTTCATTTCTGCTACCTCTTTATTAATCTATGAAGATGCAAAAAAAACCCAATTTCTGTAATTTACTGCAGAGCAGAAAAATGACTGGTAGTCTTCCCTTGAAATGCTACACATACTTCATTTTTAAAGTTTAACAGTCAAGCAGATTGAAGTAATGGCTGATAAAACAGATATTACTCGTCTAACTAAACTGACTAGTTGTACTTCTCTGTTCTTGAGATTTTTGTCAATTAGGTGGGATTTCTTTTTTTCCTTTGATTAACTTTGAGCTTAAAACTGACCTTACAGAATACAAACTCAATTGAAGTCCACAGAGATTTCCAGCTGCAGAAGTAGAATATTTTTGGTATCTGAAATTTGCAAAATGCAAGTATCAGAGTCACTCATGTTGCCATTTATTTTTGCCTAATTGCATCACTGCTCTATAGAAATGGGAACTGCTAATACAGAGCCTTGCATGTTTCCATCTTAGTAAAACAGATAAGAATATCCAAGTATTTCATAACTAGGATAGATTAAAACTGTTCAGGAAAATATTGTTTAGGAAAGGCTGCTTTGATAGGCTTGAGGGAGTTTCAGATAACTCTTTTTTCCCCTTTACATAACTATTTCAAAACAAAACTCTGTATAGAAGAAACATACTGTTTGTGTCAAGATAAAATACCCAGAGCAACTAAAGTATTCCTGCCACCTATCTTCAAAACTAGCATCTTAAGCCTGGAAAAAGAGACACACTTCCTAAAGATAATTCTAACACTGAGTGTAGGCCCCTGTTCACACTGAATCTCCGTGTAGAGGAGCTTTGCCCTGTCCAACGACTGCATAGGAAATTTAGGAGGCTGGTCTTAACTGACTAAACTTAGAAATGCAATTCAGAAAGCTAAAGCTGTTATTGTAATGTTGCTATCATCAAACAAGGTAACGCTTGCCTGGAGTTTCAATCTCTGTATGAACAAAAAATGATCACAGTTTTCATTTTACAGGAAGTTCTACAAAATATTTGGTTTTGTTCCAATTCGGAATTAAAACGGGTTTTTAAAAGATGAAATTTCTACAAGAGAAGTTTCAATTTCTGAACACTTTGGAATCTGCAGCAGTTTCATCAAAAGACACTTTGGATCCTGAATTTATATCTATTTAGTATCACTAATTTTTATCTGGCTGCAAATTGAATTATTTCTCATGTGAAGTAACACAAGAGAGACTGTAACTGAGTCAAGCTCAATATAGGCTAAAATTAGTTCTACATTTGCCATATAATGGACTTAACTCCCTTTCTTCCATCCTCTTGGCCAAGAAATATAACTTGAGAGTACCTGAAAATTGCTGATGTTACGTGTATTTTTTATTCCAGTGTCTTCCATTGAATAATTTTCTGCTTGTCTTCATTCCTCTCATATTTTCAGTATCCCACATACTCGTATTTGTTTCCATATCCTTAGCCTGCTTCACATTATCTTGCCAGGTGAAATAAGAAGATAAAACTTCAAACTATACTGTATACTGAAACCGGTAGAGGTTCAAATGACAAACAACTGGTCCCAACGGTCTAGAAATGACAAAATAAAAATGTGCCCTTCCAAAAGACAAATTATGAAGTATTTCAAACTTTACCTGACTATACCGTGAAAGTATTAAACTACATTCTGCAAGGTCTTCTTCGAGCTTTTCAATTTCTCTCTTCAGCTCAGCGTTTTCTTGGTTTAGTACATAAAGTTCTCTCTGAATCCCAGAAAGTATTAATGCAAAATTAAACACACAAAAGACAAAACTATATTTCAACAAAATCTGTAGACGTTAAAAACTGTTTTAACTTTTCGTTATTCTACATGACAGCCATGCACAATACATTTTTGGCATAGCTTTATTATCTGCAAGGTAAATTTGCTCACCAAGGAACAGTTTCAGTCAAAGCAAATTACCGTAAGAGGGTTTTTGAAAGGAGGCATTTGTGTTTCCAAGCACATATAGTGTACCATAAATTGCACAGTGCTTTCCATAGTTATGTCAGTTCCTTATATGTGCAAGGTCAGAGCCTGTGTCAACACACAAACATTTTTTTTCTTGTACCACCTGAAATCTGAGGAAGCGTTACACCCTTTTTTGAAAAGTTTAGCTGGTGAGGACAGTTTCTGACACACTGCTACTATCCCTTCTTTATACTTCTTCAGTGAGAAAGGGAATACCTCTTCTACCTCATCTGCTACATACTTCCTCCACACCGGTCAGTCCTAAATGAGCATAAAGCCCATATAACTAAATCCGCTATTTCGTGGACAGGGAACACAACAGAATTCGAAGGAAACACAGCAGATGTAGTCAGCTCCAGCCATCCACGATCAGAAGATGGCTCCTTTAAATTAAATAACCACTTGAAACAGTTAGACCAGTTTCCTTCAGCTGAAGTTGAAGTAAAACAAAAAACAGATGGTGATAAGGACTTCTCCTGGGTTTGAAATCCAAACATTTATGACTGGAGAAACAAAACCAACTTTCAGAAAATCTCATGTCAATCTGAATATTCTTAACCTGTTAATTATATTATAATAACTTGTAATGTTGAAGCCATAATTTTTCATCAGTGATTTACAGTGCAAAGCAAGCTTCACTGAAACCACTTCTTTGACAGCCCATGGAAACTCACCCTATTACTGTACCAAAGACTGTACATGGCACATTGAGGCAATGAACCAATCAATTATTTCTAGAACCAATGAGTCTTGAAGAGCCCTCTTCAAACAGGTTCTGGCTCTTGCCCAGCTCACTGTCACTTAAGAAATGTTAATCCCCTGGGCACTGTGACTTCTGGGAGTTGACAAAGACGTGGAATCAACCCATTCAATTTTACCTGCATCACACAAAACTGAAACTCATCTTTGAAGACTGATTTTGTCAGTCTTCATCTTCTATACAAAATAGGTCTCAGTTTTGCCTTACCTCTTCCGACCTTGCCATAAGACTTATTTTATCTCATTGGTTCTTCATTGGCCACCGAAAAACTATATGTAGAACATTCTAGTCAATTTGCAAACCAGTAAAGCAGTTTAAACTGAAAAGGAAGTGTTACTCCTATTTTCTGTAATCAACACCTCCTTCATAACTCCCCAAATATAAACAGCTATGAGTAAGCCTTCTCCATACCTCATGGGTGTCCCTAGACATAATAGATTCCTTATGCTGTTTCTCTTGTAAATTCTTTAATTTTATCAGTCCATCCTCTGCTTTAACATACTCTTCCATTGCACTTGATTTACAGAGAAGGAGGTCAGCTTTTGCTTTTTCAGCTTCTTCAACTCTTTTCTGAATAGTAAAAAGATTTTTAATCTTTTCTTTTTTCTACAGGAACAATCAAAACCTTAAGTAAGCCCTTTATATATTATATATATTTTTATATAACACTCTGGATAAATTTTTTCTTAGACTTACAAGTGTAGCTACCAGTGAGATCAACACAAGCATGTCCCATTGAAGAATAGAGCACAAGTTAGAGAAACATGTCATAATCAGGGGAAACTTGATTTGGTTTTAGAAGGATGAACTAAGGGACTTCCAAGTATCTTTCCGCTAATTTCTACAATTCTCTGTGCTTTATAGAACTTGCCTTCCATATCTTCAGTTCTTCTTCAAGTCTTTCCATCTCATCTTTTGATGAGTCAAAAGGGTCAGTGGGTACCATAGTCTGGAGAAAAAAGAAAAGGCACAAACTGGTTTTCCCCTCCATTAGGCAATAATGGAAACACACAAAAAATTCAAATGAGTGCTCAAAATAAAAATAAAAATAAAAATAAAAATAAAAACCTCTGCTGTTGGATGAAGCATTTTGCCAAGGTAGTTTCCAATGTATGTCCATTAATAAAAGTCCAAGGTATTTTGCCTGTGTGCCTATTTGCTGTTTTTCTCCCATTATGCAGATGAGCTATGTGGTGAGTCAAACATTTAGAGGGACTGATTATATTTTGTAATTAAATCTTCCCACAGTCTGCATGCCACAGGATAGCATATACCACATCATTTTTAAAAAAATGCATTCAGACACTTAGATCAAATCACTGAACTATTTTAATGGCTGGATAGGACAAAAATCTAAGAAAATAAATCCTGGTGAGTAATCATTATTTGCTAAGTACCTAACTGAAAATATTCATGAGCTAATATTTTGATAAATAATACAAGCAAGTTGTCTCTATGCTCTTCCACAGGGAACTAAGCCCCTCAGACCCACAAATGTCTATCCATATGCTTTCTCAGCAGTTCCTCTAAGAGAACATACAAAAAACAGACAGGCCTAATGAGAAAAAAAATTTCAAAACGCGATGCTTCCAAGCTCAGGGAGATTGGACAACAAAAGGTAACACCAAGCAGAAGGAAGGTGATAAAAGAAGCATTTCAAATTTAAGTACTTCAGGGCAGAAGTTCATAAGCACAGGAAAACTACAACTGGATAAAGACCAAAAAGAGAGAAAATCTCTTCTGTTCTGTTTTGTTTCTATGGCTGCAATATTCTGCAGAAAAGAAAAAAATCCAAAGAGACCTGTTGAAACAATTCCTCCCTTTCACTTAAGATTACATAAAACTTGAATGTGAACCATGAAATTTAGGCATGGAAAAGGTCTAAATTAGATAATCTTGTCAATTCTCTTGGTAATGCTTGGTATTTCCTAAACACAATAAAATATAAAGTAATTTTTTCCACTACTTTGTCCAATTTCAAATGCCTATTAAACAACAGGGAAATCCCCATCTGTGTATAACTTAAAACTGGGAAAAAAAAATTCCTTTGCTCAAGGAATTAAGTGCAGGAAAGTAGAAGGATGTACATCTGGAAGCTGATGAGTAAGGATGCCTAGTTTTTACTGAAAAATGGTCTAAGACAACAGTTTTCAGCCCCAAAGAAGGGGGAGGGGGAGGAATAACAAAGACAATGCAAGAAATCCAAGAGAAAGGTCCACTGAAATTACTTGCCACACTGTGGGAACTGAATTAAGTGAGGCTTCAGGAAAAAGGAAATTCCCCTAAGAAGCAGAGGCAGATGAGCAAGGTAGGACAGGAAAATTCTACCAGAATCTCCAATGCAGGCACTTTGAAACTGGACCCTCCATATGGACACAGGAGGTAGAATGAGAAATGTCTGAAGTGGAAGGTGAGACAAGCAGAAGCACTGTCCTAGGGGTGCTAGCACAAACCTTCATTCAAAGATACTATTGTCAAATACAGGTTTTTTTTTTTCCAGGTAACACATCAGGAAATACTTACAAAGCCATTATCTTTTAAAGATAGTGGGAGACTTGTAAAATCCATTGAAACCTGAGGGAACAGGAAAAAAACCTACATCATAGCGTATATTGGCTTTTTCTTATTCCCACCCCCCACTCCCAGCATAATGGAATACCAGAAAGGGATAACCAGAAGCTGTGTTGAGCTAAAAGAATTTTTAAATGTTATATTTGTATCATTTTATAGGCAAAAGTCATATATGTTGGCTATGTGAAGGCTCCTCCCTTAAGTAGCATAAAAGGCAGAGATGTGAGGAATTCTGCATTGCACAACTTATTTCTTCTGTGCTGAAACACGTATGTATCTCTATAGAATCATAAAATCACAGAATGGTTTTGGTTGGAAGGAACCTTAAAGATCACCCAGTTCCAAACCCCCGCCACAGGCTGGGACACCTTCCGCTAGAGCAGGTTGCTCAAAGCCCCGTGCAACCTGGCCTTGAACATTTACCTCCTTACGTACCGGTTTCACCTCAGGAAAGTGAAAGTAGCCTAACTGCAAAACTGGCTTCTCCATGGGCTAGCCCCATCAACAGCTAAGACACCCGTCTCGGCCGCGCCACCCCGCTTTGTCTTGCGGTCCGGGGAACCGAAAATGCGGCTCCCGGCCGCACTTCAAGCTCTCCCAGCCCCGCAGCCCGCGGCAGCCCTCCGCACTCCCCGGCCGACACCACGGCGCGTGTCACGGCCACTCCCTCCGGCGTGGGGAGGCTGCAGGGAAGCCTCACCAGCCCGAGCGCTTCCAAGAGCCCGAGGCTCGCTGCCTCGGGAGGGCGGACACCAACAGGCGCCGGGAGGGAGGCAGAGGGCCTCCCCACGCCGGGCGGAGGACGGGAGCCGTTGCTCACACAAGTTACAGCAGCCGCAAGGCCCAGCGGAGGCAGCCGTCCGCTCTGCGACGCGCACTCCTCGCACGGCAGCCCGCAGCTCAGAGCAGGCCTCCACAACAAGCCCTCCGCTCCCCCGCCGAGACCTTCTCCTCTGCCGCACGCTTTTGCTTTCGCTTTCCCGTTAGCGGAGGAGGGGTTGGCAGGTCCACCCCCAGGCCGTGTCACACTGACGGGACGGCGGTGGGGTGCCCGGCCCCGGGTCCCAGCGGGCGACGCCGCTCCTCTTCCTTGGAATACCATGGCGGAGGGTGATGCCTTCCCCCACCGCCGCCAAAGCGGTGCCTGAATCTCTCCTGTTTAAGTCTTAACCCGTTACCCCTTGTCCTGTCACTACAGTGCCTGATGAAGAGCCCCTCTCCAGCATCCTTGTAGGACCCTTCAGATACTGGAAGGCTGCTATGAGGTCTCCATGCAGCCTTCTCTTCTCCAGGCTGAACAGCCCCAACTTTCTCAGCCTGTCTTCATACAGGAGGTTCTCCAGTCCCCTGATCATCCTCGTGGCCCTCCTCTGGACTTGTTCCAACATTTCCATGTCCTTTTTATGTTGAGGACACCAGGACTGCACACAATGCTCCAAGCAAGGTCTCACAAGAGCAGAGTAAAGGGGCAGGATCACCTCCTTTGACCAGCTGGTCACACTCCTTTTGATGCAGTCCAGGATACAGTTGGCTTTCTGGGCTGTGAGCGCACACTGAAGCCGGCTCAGTTCATTTTCTCATTGACCAACACCCCCAAGTCCTTCTCCGCAGGGCTGCTCTGAATCTCTTCTCCTCCCAGCCTGTAGCTTTGCGTGGGAGGGCCCCAGTCTAGGTGTAGGACCTTGAAAAGGGCATAAGTACAGAAAAAGTAGGGAGCAGGTGGGCTGGGAAAGGCCACTCATGTCTGTCTTCAGGGAGGTCACAAAGGCTCCATGTTGGCAGTCGCTGTCCTTTGGTTTTGTCCCCTTTTCGCCCATGTCTTAACTTGGCTGGAAAATTCTGGTTTGGACTCTGAATTTTTTTCTGTGAAGTGACCAGTAATGGGCATCCTCAATCTAATTCTGGTGAATTTGTTTCATTTACTTATTTGTTTTAAACCATATTCTCTGGGATTATGTGTTTGTATTTTAAGGACTAGGCCTTCCTTCTTTGCTGGGCAGTGACAAAAGGCATAAACCATTCCGTGACAGAAGGACCCTTTGCTGATAGAGATGATGCATTCAAAAAGTAATTTCTGGAAAAACTCTGGAAAACCAAGTGGCAGTGGTGGCCATGGGGCCCCTTCCCTGGGGAAGCAGCAGCCCACCCATGTCTTGGAGTGACCTGCCACCTTGGGTTGGGGGCAGGGGGGCCAGGGCAGTGGGTGGCAGCCATCTCTCATCAAGTAAAGGGCTCTATCCTCCTTCCTAGAGGAGTACGGTTGATTTATAAACCCTTCAGTATTTAGGTTCATAAAAATGATCCATGGTAGATGCACCTAGAATTGGGCAACAAAGTTATTGTTGGGCAGTCTACAGGCAACACCAGCTTTATTCTGTAGTATTTAAGGTCTCTTGAGGTTTTTTCAAGGCTTTTGTCTGACCTAAATGTATGCTCAGTGAGTTGGATTGGAGTACCAGTGTGGCAACTACCTCTTTTACCCTCCTCACAAAAAAAAACCAACATCTTTGAACAGGTCAGGTCAGTTCCCAGATCTGTGGCCACAACTGCTAGTGCCAGCACAGGGAAAGAAGGGCAGGAGAGCTTTATCATGCATGTGAGTCAGTTTAGAGATGTCATGAAATGTGGACTGGTGTGAGGTGATTTATGATTGCAGTGTTAGCCAGCAGGCACTCACTTTCTAAAAAGATTTCAGGAAAGAAGTGCCTTGAGAAAAACAAAAAAACAAAACAGCAAAACAACAACCCCAGACAAAACCACTATGATTTCCATGATGATCAGTTTGAGGAAGAGAAAGCAATGATTCCTCATTGCAGGGGAGGGCAAAAGGCTTTAGTTACTGGATGATTTTGGTTACTAGGGAGAGGAGCTGGAGGTCTGCGGAGCCCCAAGGCTCTGGGCAGTGGGGCTCAGCACTCCCAGGGTGCTGGGGAATGCTGGGGGTGGGTGTGAGCACTGGGCAGTGGGGCTGGGAGTTGCCTGGGTACATGGGGGTGCTGGGAACCCAGCACGTGGTCGGGATTTAGGCTGGATTTTGGCCATGGTGACCCCTAAAGCACCCCTGGGATACCCCTAGAGAATCCCAGAGAATGCCTGGAGCACCTCCAGAGCACCCCATGGACCCAACCAGAGCTCATCCATCACAATGACCATGGGGACATGGGGACCACAGGTGTGGCTGATTCTGGAACACCCTTAGTTCAGGTGTGTGAGGCCACGGAACCCCACGGAACCCTTCACCAGACGCAGCAGGAGACTACAGCTGCCTCACAGAACACAAGTTATCCAACTGAATCCTAGGCTGCATCAAAAGGAGCGTGACCAGCAGGTTGAAGGAGGTGATCCTGCCCCTCTACTCTGCTCTCGTGAAACTTCACTTGGAGTATTGTGTGCAGTTCTGGTGTCCTCAACATAAAAAGGACATGGAACTATTGGAACAAGTCCAGAGAAGGGCCACGAGGATGATCAGGGGACTGGAGCACCTCCTGTATGAAGATAGGCTGAGAAAGTTGGGGCTGTTCAGCCTGGAGAAGAGAAGGCTACGTGGAGACCTCATAGCAGCCTTCCAGTATCTGAAGGGGGCCTATAGGGATGCTGTGGAGGGACTCTTCATTAGGGACTGTAGTAACAGGACAAGGGGTAATGGGTTCAAATTTAAACAGGAAGTTTAGATTGGATATAAGGAGGAAATGCTTTCCTGTTAGGGTGGTGAGGCGCTGGAATGGGTTGCCCAGGGAGGTTGTGAATGCTCCATCCCTGGCGGTGTTCAAGGCCGGGTTGGACAGAGCCTTGGGTGATATGGTTTAGTGTGAGGTGTCCCTGCCCATGGCAGGGGGGTTGGAACTAGATGATCTTAAGGTCCTTTCCAACCCTAACTATTCTATGATTCTATGATCATTCTTCATGTAGGTAGCTAAAGAGTCTCTTAGAAATCCTTTGAGAGCTGGTATGACTCACTTTGTCATGCAGATTATGTTGCTAGGACAGACTGGACTTCTCCCCATGCAAGCTGTCAAATGGCAGGTATAAAGCTGCACTTCAGCATGAGTGCATGAAAGGAAAGTGCCCCACAGCGTCTTCCACTTATAGCTCTTGGATTTAGGAGCACACAATGCACACTGGATTATGGCCAACCATTCAGACACAGCTGACTGAATTCAAGACTCATTATCTGTTTAAATACTCGTAATAGGTGCATTGCAGTTATAAACAAAATTTGGGCAATGTCTATGTCCTAGGCCAAGAATAATAAAGCATATTGCTTTCAGGTTTCCTTTAAAACTAAGCTGACTAATCTCTTAAATGTTACCCTCAAAATTGCGAACAGACTTTTATTCATTGGTTGAAGTATTTTGTATGGTTAGCAGTCAATCAGCACTGAATGTTAAAGAAATTAATCCTCAAATATTCAAAATACGCCAAACAGTTGGAGAAAGAGTACAAGCTGACTTTGTTGCTTTGCAGATGTGGACTCCAGCTTTCAAAGAAAAGCGGGAGGAGCTGTATAGCAGCAAGGCATTGCAGTGAAATTGGTTGGGCTCTGCGTGCAGACTTGAGAAGGCCTGTGCAAAAGCAGCTAGATCAAGGTTTTCAGAACTTTTGCTTTCATTGGCTATACAAAGGGGATCTTGGATTGCTCACTGCTTGGACTACAGTCACCTTGTGCCACAGAATTCAGGGGGAGTTTTACTCATGGAGCAATTATTATGGCAGTTTCAAAGGTCCTTATCTGCTTTTTAAGATAAATGGATGAAACTATTTTTTTATTATTATTTTCTGCCTTGACAATGGATAACTATGTTTACTATTGCTTTATAAACACAAAGTTGGTTACTAATGAGATGAGTAAAAGGGAGAGGTTTAGCTGGAGTAGCCAGGGAGGAGGAGGTGATTATGTTATGACCTAAGCACATTAGATTTTAGATTTAAATGTCAGAGTGGCAGGCTGTCCTCCAGTAACCATGGTCATGTTGGGAAGTCACTGCTGATCTGCAAGAGCCGTATTTCTC